GGAATATATACATGCCATCCAAACGCGTAATACAAAAGCCCATCCAGTAAAATTCAATTATCTTATATATATAGCATTCTATACTAGCTTTAATTTTCTCTGCGTTCTACTCCACTTTTTGTACAAGCTAATATCAGAGTTGCTAGGGTTAGGGTTCAGCCTTTTGAAAGAATATCAGAGTTGCAATTATATGGCCATCAAACCCTTTTTCTCCGCTCGCTAAAATCATCGGAAAACCCATAAATATTATGAAAAGCTAGATTATGTATCTCAAAATATATATACTTATACTTTATTGCTAAATAGTTTAGTTTCTATATATAATGTAATTTTATTTTATTTAAAAGTTCCAGTATTAAAATGTGTGAAAATTTCGTGACATTGAGGTCATTTTATGTTTCTATTTATTATATAAAGAGTTAATACCCAAAATCGTCCTCGATTATAGTGGTTTTTCTCAATTTCGTCCTAAACGACTTTGGTGACCTAATATCGTCCCAGACTTTTGTGTTTCGCTCAATTTAGTCCCAGACTTTTGTGTTTTTGCTCAATTTAGTCATTCATTTGTTATTCTGTCCATTTGGTGTTAAATAAATACACAATTCAGTAATTTTAATATTGACATCTCTTTACTCATAGACATGTGAACTACGAAATCTTTTTTTTTTTTTTACGAATTACTCCCAGAATTACTCCTAAAACTGCAAATATAAAATTTGATTTGCAGGTCCGGGAGTAATTCTGGGTGTAATTCGTACAAGAAAGAGGAATTTCGCACTTCACAAGTTGAAAGTAAAGAGAGATCAATATTGACATTACTGAATTGTCCCTTTATTTAACACCAATTTGATAGAATAACAAATGGAGGACTAAATTGAGCGAAACACAAAAGTCTGGGACAATATTAGGTCACCAAAGTCGTTTAGGATGAAATTGAGAAAAACCACTATAGTCGAGGACGATTTTGAGTATTAATATGATCAAAATTGTCACAAATTTTATAAAACTGATAGAGTAACACTTTTTTTTTTGGGATCATGTAACTAATTACTTCAGTATTTTTTTTTTATGGTGATGAATATACAACTATATATAATTCGGAGTATAATTTAATATCTTTATTCTAATATATGATGAATTAATTGATTTCCATGGCGGTGTAACCTTTCAAAAACAAGGGGAATCATGGCATCAAAGGATTCGGAGCAGCCTGTGTCTCCTACTGGCAAAGCCTCCTTTTTAGTATACTTTTTTGGGGTGCTTTGTTCAAACATTATGTCACCTTCTAATTATATATAAAATTAAATTATTGCAAGTGTTATTATTTAGATTTGATAATTGTATTTCCGGGGTGGAGATTAGATAAGAATTTTACGACTACGTGACGGCGGTGCTACTATGCTTGCTAATCCAATCAAAGGTGAGGACTGAGGAGAGAATTGTGATTTTTGTTTTAAAATATAGATAAAAATTAAAGATCATTTTTGGACCATTAATTTCAATTCGAGCATGTACTTGCTTTTGGTTTAATTTGTCTTTAATTAATGTATGCAGTTGGTGGTCATACATACAATAATATAGTTGTTTTTATGATCTTACCAAAAAAAAAAGTTGTTTTATGTTTTAATTTATTGGTATGGGTAATTACAGTCAATTCGATGGCTAGATGCTCCATACAAGCTTTTCGTAATAATATATTGATGGTGTGCTTTTAAAAATAAAATACTAGTGCGCACAAAAGATCTGTCTATTTTAGATATAATCTCTAGACTATTATTGTCGAATTTCGAACATTAATCTCTTTTTTCAAATACTATATACTAAACCATTGAGTTAAACCTGTGCAAACACTTTTGTATTTTTTTTCTTTATATTCCATCATTTTTTTACAACGAGGATCACTACTAACAGTACGTGCTCTAAGTAAATTATGTTCGGATATAATAACTCGTATCTATACAAGAGAAGGCTTTTAGTCTATATATATATAAATAAGAGATTGAGTTTTGAGAGATTCAACGCCTTTAAAACTAAGAATGAACTAAATTCAAATTGATTTCCCTTTATATAGTTAGGATTGGAATTCAAATAGTTACAATTAGGATGATGATATGGGCCCTCTGTGGCGTTGTACATGCGATCTGCCATGATGATACCCGCAAATTATGCTGTGCAACCGAATGCACCTTGCAAGGTGCATACGGTTGCAAAACAGCGGCTGCTTTGGTTAAAAAAAAACGTGCGTCTCACTTAAAGAATAAATCAGGTTTGATTCCCGGCAATAACATTTTTATATATACAAAAATTCATAACTATATATCCACAAATTCATAACTATATATCCATAGTGAATGAATGAAGTAAAAATCCACAATGAATGAATGAATGAACTAAATATCCACAATGAATGAACTAAATATCCATAAATTCATAACTATATATCCACAGTGAATGAATGAAGTAAATATCTACAATGAATGAACTAAATATCCATAAATTCATAACTATATATCCACAAATTTATAAATATATATCCAGAAATTCATAACTATATATCTACAATAATGCTATTTCTGAGAATCGAACCTGAATTCTCTTTTTTTTTTTTTTAAGTGAGACACGCGTTTTTAGTCAAAACGACATCGTTTTGCATCGTATGCACCATGCGCATGGAAGGTTTTATTCTCCTCAATACAAAGTGCACATAAATGTAGGTTAGAAAACAGTTGGTCAATTTATAATTGCCTCAAAAAGTAAGGAGGATCAAAGAATAATTAGCACGAATAAAGCATCACTCTAACTCGACTCTTCTTGATTTATTATTATTATTACAATTTCTTTTATTTCTCCAAAAAAAAATTTGGGTGACAAGGAATGTGTGTTGTGTAAACTCCCCTCCTATGTTCTTCATTTTACTTTGTTATGTTTATCACTATGAGATGGTATGCATATGGAATAAATTGAATATAAAATGAACTTAAACTGAAAATTATTTTATAGATTTGAGAAAAACAAAGACAATTAAAAAAAAAAAAAATCAAAATGACAAAATTGAATGAAATTTTTTCCAGTTTTGAGTAAATTTTACTTTTACTTTTGAGCTGGGATGATTACTTGGTTCATTGAAATGAAAAGACTTACAGTGAGGTCATAGATTTGTTGCCGACTTACAGTGACAGCACAACCATATATAAACCTCATCAGCTCCTTCAGTCCTTTAATTTGCACATCTTATATATCAATTCCTCTACACCAATTACATAGACGTACTAGTCCAAATGAAAATAATATTTGTCTCACAATCACAAAATATCGAAGGTTACGTTATATATGTCCAGTTAGTTTGCAAATTATAGGAACCAAACCAAACCATTAATAGAAGGGTTTGATTATTATTGTTTTTGTTTAATTATGTGAGTTTTGATTCTTATTGAAATTTTAATGAGATATGTAAATAACTTAATTTTAGTATAAGTAATTGTAAGTAAAAAAATATTATTGTTGTTATGTTGTTATTGTTTAACTTAAAATTCTAAATATTTCATTTTAATTTTTTTACAAATTTTTTTTAATTATATGAAGGGAAGGGCGAAGCCTCGGTGATAAATAAAAAATAAAAAAAATAATTAAAAAAAAAAAGCGATTAGTCACCACGGACATGGGGAGTCTTGATACAATCCTTGTGAACGCAGGCTGCAAGGTCAGCGTTCGGGCAAAAATAAAGCAAGGTCAAAATTTTGTTTAAAGATTTTTTTTTTTTTAAACTCTTAGAAAGTTGAATTTCAATAGTTTTAACAATAGATATAGTTGAACATATACTACAATGTAATAGAGTCAGTAGCTTTCAAAAAAAAAAAAACAATAGATATAGAATGTTGGAGAAGCCACCCAAAAAAAAGGATCAAACTAATAGTTAGAACCGGAACTAAACTTTTAATTTCATAAATGGTTTTGATTCCTCTGATCTAATATAAGAAACGTGAACCACTTGGTCAGAACCAATGTTGTAGAATTGTAGAAGGCGCTAAACGCTAGTCGGACGTCTAATGCCTAGGTGTCGAGTAATCCGAGTATATTGTTTCTACTTTTCTCACTTATGAAGTTGGAAGTTGTTAAATTGTTATAGTTCCCTAAACTAGTCAATTTCATATGTTAGATGGTTAGTTGAGTACATAGTTGGAAGAGTATATAAGAAGATTAACCGAGCAGGCAAAAAAAAAAAAAAAATCACTTGCTCGAGTTGGGTACCAACTCAACTAAGTTAGACACTCAACTCAGTTGAGTTAGGCGCCTAGTCGACCGGCTGACTAGAAGCCATCTAGGGTTAAAATCGCCTCAACTTAAGGACACCTAGCACCTAAACGACCGCCTAGATCGATTTTTACAACATTGATCATAATCAAAACCAAATGTCCAAATCGAGGTGACATTTATATATATCATTAACACAATGATATACCATCAAACAATTTACTTCTTTTTTCCTTTATTTTCATCTAATGAAGAAGGCATGTTGAGTTATCTAAAAAAAAAAATGAATTTTAATTTCAATTATTACCAACACTTTCTTGGTTAAACCTGACATATTTAGCATTTTCCAACGTGAATGTAACAATGTACCGAAATCTATACATTATGCGTATACATAAGTAAACACTACACATGTTAGACATGTGTTTATCGTTACGAATTTCATGAAGTACGTACTTACGTGTCAAACATACATACAAGATACATCTAGAGGTCGGTGGTCTTTTCTTTTTTCTAAATTCTTTTGTCTCTTTTTTGAGCTGAGGCTTGTGAGTTGAGAGTTAGCTTAACCGGGGTTAGAATCCGACCATAGGTAGGAGTTTATGACCGTTTGGTGTAACAATGCCACTGACACGTATAGTACAGCAAAAATACTATGAAAATACCATTACACAACAAAAGATTTAGCATTCAGATGCTCTCTCGCTCGCTCACTTTCCAAAAGCACTCCACTTCACAATTCTTTTTCTACGTATATAAACCCCACCCACAATTGAAAATCTCAAATACACCTAGTCAGTTACTGTACTACGACCCTCACCCTATAACCCTACACCATCGCTCTCAATCTTCTTTCTCTCCAGAATTCTCCATTCCCTAAGATACCCACTTCTTTCTCTCTCTAACTAATCTTGCTACAGGAACCATCCTATCAGTTCTGTAATACCCAAAATCCCAGCTGAAAGATCTTGAGGAATCATGGCGGTTCTTGTGCTCCTTTCACTACTTTTCATGGCCTTGGTTGGTCATTCAAGTATGTTTTTTTTTTTTTTTTTTATTCCTAGCATGGGTTTTCATTTTTTTAGTGTTGAAGTAGTTAAAAGTTGGATCTTTGAGGTTGTATGAGCTGATCTGTTGATGTTTTTGAGGGGTTTTGTGTTTTTTTTTTTTTTTTTTTAAATTTTTTTTTTTTGTAGGTGCTGCTTACTGTGTGTGCAAAGATGGGGTGAGTGATACTCAGCTTCAGAGGAACATAGATTTTGCTTGTGGAAATGGAGCTGATTGTTCTGCTATCCTTCAAAATGGTGTTTGTTTTAACCCCAACACTGTGAAAGATCACTGCAGCTATGCTGTCAATAGCTATTATCAGAAGAAGGTTTCATCTGGAGCAAGCTGTGAATTTTCTGGCACTGCAACTCTCACTGCTAATCTACCTTGTAAGTAATAGAGTTATCTTCCACCCAATATTTTTACCCCTTCTACCCCAAACTTTTTCCTTTTTTATTGGCACAAACTTATTACTTTTTTTTTTTTTCTTCTTGTTTTTGATGTGTGCAGCTCAACCTTCTGGATCTTGTGTTTATCCCTCAAGCGCTGGGTTTGTATTCTTGTTCTTTGGATCTGTGTGATTATATATTATACATCTTGCAATTATTCAGTAATTTATATTTTTCTATGTGAAAATTCTCTCTTCCCCTGAAGCCTGGTTGGTATTAGAAGTGAACCAATTCCAATTATTTTAGATTTCTTGAAAGGAAAAAGGAAAAACCGAAGTTTTTCTAAGAAAGATTCTTGCTTTACCCTAAAGATTAAGTATCAGATTCAATGGAAATGAGTACAAATAATTTCTTGGTAGGTTAAAATTGCATTTTAAAGGAGTTTTGGTGAGTAAAGACACTGCTAAAATAAACTGAAATTATTGCACGGAGTATTTGATACACTTTTGATCACTTTCCAGATAAAGGGTGGGGATTTTTCTGCAAATCAATGTTGATATCAGTCTTCCTTTTAAAAATCTTTGCAATGGCCATTCTAGTTAATATTCGGCCACAATTATTCATCAGTTGTGTGCATGTGAGCTGGCCTGATGTTGATATGTGCTGTCTGCTACTATTTCTTTAATCTGTTCTTTAGCATATTTTAATGATGTTTGTTCTCTGATTGCTTTCACATGGCGCCATGCTTCTTCCCCTTGTAATCTAATCTTATGGGTACATATTAAAGTGATTGTTGGTTGATAATTTAGTCAAATAATTGAACGGCGGCGTGATATTCTTGTACAGGTCTGCCGGTGGAAGCACATCGCCAACCACCAACCCATTAACCCCACCGACAACCCCATCTACCGGGACTGGGATTGGTACTGGCACGGGCACTGGAACAGGCACCGGAACTGGAACTGGAACGGGGACAGGCATTGGCACCGGGACAACTCCGACTTTCGGGCTTCCTCCCACAGCCGGGACTGGAATCCCGGATGGCAGTGCAGCTGTGTTTCCTAGTAAAAGCGCAATCTTGGTCGGGCTGGCAGTTGTATTTCTAAGCCTGGTTCGTCCTCTAAGAGTCTGAGAAAAATGTGGCACGTTGGGTTTGATTCTTGCTGGGAAAAAGTGAGGGGTGGGGGGGATTCATCTGGACTTTAAGTCCCACTTGTGCTTCTCTTTACTTTGTTGATCTTGGGTGGATAAGTTGGAATTGGATTCCCATTTTGAGCGCATATTTGGCTGTTTCTGGGGGTAGTAGTAGTAGACTAGTATTAGATGATCATGTTTTACTTCTTCTGTGTTGTATATCTAGAGATCAAGTAGAAGGAAGGCTGTATTTTTTTATTTAATTCCCACCTATAACCATGAAACTCCCCTTCCCCTTTTCGTGTTTCTTACTTTTCTCTCCACTTTTTTTTTTTCTTCATCTTAAAGTTAACCTTACTGAATGCAATTGTCAGCAAAGTTAACCTTATTTTGACTTTAATCAATTAACTGAGTAAATAGATTGCGACATATAATATTTACTGGTCGTCAGTATATGATGTTGTCATATAATGATGCTTTCTTAAAATATATGTGTAAAATGTAAATTACTCCCCGACAAGAGTCACTGTCGTTATCTCTAGCACGAGGAAAAAGGTTTCATCATGGGGTTTGATTGTTTGAAATAGAAACAGATTATTATAAGTGTAGTGGGTATTATATAGATACTCCGTATTAATTTAGCGGAGGTCACAAGATGTTAAAATCTGCCGAATTCAAGAGGTTGACAATGGCATTATTTCATTTGCGGTCACTATCTGAAAACGTTTGTATATTGGGTAAACTTCGTCTTGTAATTTTAGATTGGAAAGAGGTAAATTAACTTAACTTGTTCATAATTAATTGATTCAAACTTCGTCTTGTAATTTTAGATTGGAAAGAGGTAAATTAACTTAACTTGTTCATAATTAATTGATTCAAACTAAGAAAACTGATAGGCCGCTCTAATTGAAAGTGAAATTGGTAATATTGTAGTTACTAAGTCAACAGTCTGACCAACTTGATTAAAATTACCTTTTATTTCATTTATTTGTGTTGAAGAAGGATGGTGACATGGGAGCTACTAGGTGGTACTGGACAAACATTAGCCACAATTTTTGAACAGAAAAGAAAGCCGGCTTGTACACTACTGAAAAGGATTTGGTATCAAGAATAAATTTTTCAACAAAACTACACATTTTATTCCTTAACAAACATCAATTGGCAACTATAACTAACCAAAGGATTCATACTTGCCTGCTAGCTGCTAGGCTGTTAGCCGGCTTCTCGGCGCTAACAAACTCCCGAATCAGATTAGAAACAGCGGCAGGCTTCTCGACGTGTGGGATGTGACCGCAATTTGGGATTTGGCGTATGATTGCATCTGGCAATTCACAGTGCAACCGCTGCATTGTACAGTTGACGAACGATCGATCACTCACTACCGAATCTATTATCTATAGTAGAAGTTAGGCCACTAAGATAAGAGGAGAGGAACTTACAACTCCAAGCTTGTAGTCAATAATCTGATCATTCTCTCCCCATATTATAAGCGATTTTTGCTTGACCTGTATATATAACAAGTAGTGAAAGATTGATTAGCTTTCATATGGGTACTAGCCAAACGGAGAATAAATATCGCCCTTACATCGTTTATCTGAGCAGTGACATTATAGCCTCCACTGATCATAAAATTAACAGTTGCATCCTCCCACCAGGGTAATAAACAATGTAACCGCCCAATCTGAAAAGCAATAGCACAAAATCATATCATGTCATTTGGACCAGCTGCAAACATCAAAATATTTAAGAGCCAACTTTGTAGATGAAGGCTTTGTCAAGGCTCCAGGGCCCCCTAACATCATGTCACGGGGTCAGTTCCAATAAGGTGGATTATCTCAGTCCCCCCAAATAGGGTACTTATAACTTAACCCTATTAATTGAAGCACGTGCTCCATCTCAACTAAAAGCCTAAGCTGATAGTTGGATTGCACATTAATGGTTATATGCTCTGATTTAGAGGTATTATATAATAGGTTATTGCTAATTGTATTGAGGGCTTATTAAAAAAGAATACAATTTCAAACAGTTGGATCTCAAAAGATTATGAAAAACCATAAACAAGCGGACCAAACTCACATTTGTCCAGTCTGCGAGAATATTGAAGGGTAAACTATTGAAAGCCAGTGAAGTTGCATACCAGCGAAGCGGGATGCTTTTCAACAAGTAGACCTGTCCAAACGACAAAATTTGATATATAAGCAGTGAAGTATTCATAAAATACAAATTTTGACATGACTGACGATAAAACTTCTCTTGCATCAAATTAAGGTTCAAATAACATTAAAACGTCCTCCCTTCCTTCTAAGCTGATTAAAGAGATGGATTACCCCAGCATAAGCTGCTGCTTTAGGTAGTGTTGCAAGGTCCCCAGTGCCTTCTGCATATACACTTGCATCGATCAAAACCAGCCTATCCACCTGATTAAGGGCACAATGCCTCATTTGGACGAGCCATATAATTGCCAAATATATCCGTAAAATACAAAGCTCTAGGGCAGACTCATATCTATTTAGAGCACTTACAGCTTCTGGATAGTTGACGGAAAAGTCGATAGCAATGGCAGATCCAAGACTTGGTCCGACTAATGTCATAGGCCTTTTGATGTATGTATTCCAAAACTGAGAGAAAGATGAGACCAAATTTTGAGATAAAAACAAAACAGGTGAAAGTTATTCTTTCAGATGCTTTAGAACACATTCAATCTAATTAAGGTGGCCTAGAATACTGAAACATGATTTAATTCAGAGTGTAACCCGATTTGCATACTAAAGTCGACTCCTTTTGGCTGTCCAAATGATCTAAATAACATGCAAAGATGAAATTGAATACCTCATAAAGATGTTTACGCTTGGAAGCAACATCTAATGCCGGAAGCCTTTCTAACCAATGTCAGGATTAAATGAAGCAATTCTCAATCCCTGTTTGAATATTAGAGCCAAAAGGGCAAGTTTTTATGAAAAGGGAGGTTGTACAAATGAAATGAATATACCTAAATCAGAAAAACCCCATCCAAGAATATCAATTGCCCATGTCTCGAACCCAGCCTCCTCGAGCATCGGAAGGGTGTATCTCCATTCTAAAAGTGAGCTGAACAGAATAAGAAGAGATGAACAATGCAAACACAGCAGGAAAACAAGGTGCCAACACTTGAAGAAAATGACACCCCTACCTGTCAAAACCATGGAGAAGAACAACCGGGTTCTCCTCACTCCGCACTGCTGGCTTCACACAACTGCTCATAATACAACCTTTAGAAAAGCTTACCTAATTTGGACCAATTTGCAATCATCAGTCCACAAATGTTGCTACATAGAGGATATACAAAGGTTGCCAAATTAAGACATATCAAATTCAAAAATGCAAATGCTAACATGACATTAAAGAAACGTGGTATTGGTGCAAGAATAAGATATATGTCCTTGTGTATTCTGGCGCGAGCAATAACAATGTAAAAATAGGCTGACCCTTGATAGCGCAGCTAACTTACCGGGACTCTCTCAATTCTTGAAGCCAATTTCCTAGCAAATTGGTCTTTGATATTGTCGACTTGTTTTGGAAGAAAAGCAGGAAATTCACAAGCCCACAACCTCAAACGCTTTGCCCTCCAGCCTTTCGCGCTAAATGTATGCGGCGGTGGTTGAGCGCCGCCGGCTGAAACGCCCAGTGCCACCATTTCTTGGCAGCGTCGACCAAGCCAGGACAAACTTCAGAAATGAATGAGGGCCTTGCAATAACCAGAAGGCGCTAAAGATATATCATCAAAAATTATTGGGAAAAGGGTCAAATACACCCATGAACTTTATATAAGGAGTCAATTAGGCCCCTGAACTTTTAAATGTTGCAATTAAACCTACGAACTTGTTACTTTTGTGCATTTAGACCCAATAACAAATTAATTACCTGTAATAGCAGGTGAGATGCTGACGTGTCATTTTTTAATATAAATAATAATAATAAAATAATATAAAATTATTTAAAAGATTTTAAAAAAAATTAAAAAGAGAGAAGATGGCAGCCATCGCTGCCATCTTATTCTTGCCTGGGAAACTAATTTTGTTTTAAAAAAGAGAAGAAGGCAGCCATCGCTGCCATCTTTTTCCTGAAGGAGCGGGAACAATTTTATTTTATATTTTTTAAATAAAAACGAAGAAGAGAGAAGATGGCAGCCATGGCCATGGCTGCCATCTTCTTCTTAAGTCTCTTTCGTCTCCAGTGGAGACGAAGGGAACTCTTTTTTATTTTATTTTTTAAAGAAAAAGAGAAGATGGCAACCATGGCCTGCCATCTTCTTCTTGCCTCCTTCTTCGTAGGAGGCTAGCAGGCAAGAAGAAGAAGATGGCAGCCATGGCTGTCATTTTCTCCTCTTCTTCTTCTTCTTTTTTTTTTTTTTTAAAAAAATTTTTATATTATTTTATTATTAGTAATTATTTTAAAAAAAATGACACATCAGCGTCTCACCTGCTATTACAGGTAATTAACTTGTTGTAGGGTCTAAATGCACAAAAATAACAAGTTCATAGGTTTAATTGCAACATTTTAAAGTTCAAGGGCCTAATTGACTTCTTGTATAAAGTTCAGGGGTGTATTTGACCCTTTTCCCAAAATTATTTAAAGCTACTTTCGTATAATTTCTCACTTTTTTTAAAATACAAAATTTATTATTATTAAATTATATGAGAGTTGTAGGATTCATCTTTACTTATTGATAGTGCTCATTTCTCATCTTAAGTTATAATAATAATTGATAATTGATGTTGTAAACTTCATCTTTGTCCTGATAAAATATTAGACACCTAAATTTATAACGTCAATTATAAATTATGAACGACACGACATGTTAAAAAATAATTAATAATTTAGAGACCAGAAATGAGTGTAACTAATAAATAAACAAATCCTGCAATTACTCTATAACTTAAAAGACGAAAAATAGAAATTTCTTATTGTACATCAATATCTCAAGTTGGTCGGATTAATTCTGAGCCCCAACTAATATAAGCCTCTAAGATCCCTCCCCTAGAGTCTGTTGGTGGAGGTAAATTCCGTGTTGCTAAATTGAATTTTCAGTTAAAGGAGAAGATTAGTTGAGTTAGAAAGTGCAGTAGCATTCCTGTCTGTGCTCTAGCTCCTATCAATAATCAATCTCATGTCAGCGCCCATTCCCAGCTTGCATGAGGCATTGATATCCCAGTTATTGTCACAGAAAAAATGGAGCTTTATCCGTCTCAAGCAGATACACTCTCTGTTTATCACATGCGGTCTTTGCCACCACAATTCATGGCTCAGGAAACTACTCGACCACTGCATATCCCTGCCTGCATTCCCCTCTTCCTATGCGCTTTCTCTCTTCACTCGGATCAAACAACCCAATGCCCATTCCTGGAACACCATGATCAAAGGCTATTCCATGACTTCAAACCCCTATCACTCCATTGTTTTCTATGCCAAAATGCGGGAAAATCGTGTATTTCCCAACAACCACACCTTTACTTTGCTTCTCAAAGCCTTTTCCAAGGCCAAAGCAGGAAACCCACTTCAGGTTTTTGCTCAAGTAGTGAAGTTTGGGTTCGGTTCTGACCACTATGTGCAGAATTCTTTGGTTTCTACTTTTGCTGTCTGTGGGCACATTCAACTTTCGCGCAAGGTGTTCGTTGAAATGCAGCAAAGAGATGTCATTTCTTATACTGCATTGATTGATGGGTTCAAGAGAAACAGTAGGCCAGCTGAAGCTTTGGAGCTTTTTCTAGAGATGAAAAGGAAGGGTGTGAGGGTGGATGAAGGTACTATAGTTAGTGCTCTTTGCGCAGCTGGGATGCTGGGATGTGTTTGGTTGGGGAGGCAGCTTCATGGGTTCTATATAGTGCCTGGGAGAGTTCATCAGGATGTCTATATTGGCAGTGCTCTTGTGGATATGTATTCCAAGTGTGGATTCTGTGATGATGCTAGTCAAGTGTTTGCAGAGATGCCATGCAAGAATCTTGTTTCTTGGACTGCACTGATAACTGGATATGTTAACTGTGAAAGATTCAAGAATGCCCTGAATGCTTATGAAGACATGCTGGCTAGTGGACTAGAGCCCAATCAAGCTACACTAACTGTTCTTCTCACTGCCTGTACTAAGCTAGGGGCTTTAGACCAGGCCAAGCAGCTTGAGATGCGTATTGACTCACAACGACTCGAAATCAACTTGGCTCTTGGCAGTGCTTTGATAGATTTGTATGCAAAGTGTGGATGCATCAATGATGCACTTTCGGTTTTCAGAAAGATACCAGTTAAAGATGTTTATGTATGGACAGCCATCATCAATGGGTTGGCAATGCATGGTGAAGCTGAGAAATGCTTAGATCTCTTTAGGGAAATGTTGAGCAATGGGGTCGAGCCCGATGGAGTCACATTCATTGGGGTTCTCAGTGCATGCTCTCATGGTGGACTTGTGGATGAGGGGCAGAAATTGTTTGCAGAGATGGACAGTGCCTATGGAATACAACCCACTGTTGATCACTATGGTTGCATGGTTGATCTGCTGGGCCGGGCGGGACGATTAGAGGAAGCAGTTGAGTTGATTGCAGGCATGCCAATGGAGCCAACCCCAGGTGTTTGGGGGGCTCTATTTGGTGCATGCATGATTCACAAAGAGTATGGACTGGGAGAATGGGTAGGAAATCATCTGATCAGGATACAACCTCATCACAGTGGCAGGTACACACTTCTGGCAAATTTACATTCAATGTCTCAAAACTGGAAAGCAGTAGCTCAAGTCAGGAAAAAGATGAAAGACAATGGAGTTGAAAAGATCAGGGGGTGTAGTTGGATTGAACTGGAAGGTGTTATCCATGAATTTATTGCCTTTGACAATTCACATGCCCAGTCTGAGAGTGTGTATCTGGTCTTGGATAGCCTTGCCAGCCAACTGGAACCTGAAAATTTTGTTCATACATTGACTCCATAATGTTCACACTGGACAGTTTAAAGCATAGCAGATTTCCAGGTTATCAATGAACAACATTCAACAACAATTTCATTTCTCAGAAAAGACTACAAAGTATCAAGTTATAAACCACAGTTTTGCCCTTGATGAGAGATACAATCTGGTTGTTATATCCTAATATTTTAAGCGTTGAAGTTTTTCGCATTATCTCCATCCTTTTGCGCTCCCTCTACGTGGACAGAACAGCATATCAAGTAATTCTGGATTCTGGGAGATTAACCCAAAAAGTGACTCCTCCTACCAAGTCAAGGTGGCTGTAAGAATAATTAATGAATTTCAAGCGGTGTAAAATCAAAGGATCACCGAAGAAATTGTTTCCAGTCTTTATGTTGCAAGAGTTGGTGACAGCGAGAAAGTTGGAAACTCAAAATCCTAAGAATTCCCATGGAAAGAAACAGAATTATGCCTTATCTCAACGGGAACTAGGAGACTTCCAGATGAGACTTGAATGTTATTAGTCCGCTTTATCGTCAGAAGCCTCCAATAACCATTTTGCTCTCCAACCAATTGAAGGTGACAAAAGGCGTTCTGTTTTCCAACCAGATGACTGAAGCTGCCATAAAGCACAAATAGAAAACGGAAAGAGTAAATATATTGTTCTTTCACTAGTTTGGAAGGGGAAAAGGGATAAAGCATGGTCTTATGTAACCAAAATACCTTTGAAATGAAGATTTTGTAATGCTTTTCAATCCACAATTCACTCTCCATATGTACATCTCGCTTCTCGCCAGCAAGTTTTGACATGACAAGAGCATGAATGAATGACTGCAAGATATCTGCTGCCGTTGAATCTTTATGCACAACAATGCTGACGATTCCATTTTTCTCCAGCAGTAAATACTTAGCTAGATAGACCACCCAGAAGAGATAAGTAGATAATTTGGGTAAAATATTTTCACATTAAAAAATAATGCGCAACATATCAACCTTTTCTGTAATGAGATCCAGCAGACTTTAAGAGTTCCTCCCTAGACATCAAGAAGAAACTGTCACTAAATAACTCAAAACATTCATTCCGTAATTTTTTTTTTCTTCTTTCAGGTCTACTTGAGAGCACACCCGTGGAGCTATTCAGCTCCAATATGCATGTTTTTTCTTTATCTCTAAATTTGAGGAAAAGAGCAAGCCCAACTTACATTTCATGAAATTTAAGTGAAGTAATCCTCACGCCTAAGCTAACATTCTTGTGTAAAGTACTCTTAGGGCTCCATGAGGTCATCCATAACGGTAGAATATGCTCCATGGTCGAGACCTGCTTTGGAGAGAGAACTGGCAATAGTACAGAACAACTCAGTTTGAAATACGATGAAGATTGTCATTGTGATGTGTTTCATTTCCTTTCCCTTGTATCAAAAATAAAAAATTACGATGAATATTATGCAATCACCTTGGCCTGTCTTGAAGAAATGTGACAGAAGAATCGAGCTCCTTTCACAGTTAAGAGTTGTGAGCGAAAGACAACTAACGGCCTTATAATTTGCTACATATATCAAAATTAACAAAGACAGATTAGATGCAAGATGTTAGTGTACTATACATGGGATAGCGGGTAAGAGGAGAAAGGAAAGCAGTGCAAAACTGACCATACATATGGAAAATGGTAAGAGACAAGAACGAGATCCATATGGCAATTGCGTGTCCATTAGTGATGCGAGCAAGTAGCATTCCAAATGCCATACCGATCATTGTTGCAACAGTCTCTTGGCTTCCTTCCTATTTGATCAAGCGAGCATAAAAATGTAACAATCTGTGCAATTATTTAGTACGGAAGCTCTGCAACATTAGTGCCAATCTCGGTACCTTTGCAGATATGTCGGCTGCATTATCTTGAAGGGCAAAATGCTGCGTCAAAGCTGCTCTAGTGGCTCCACTAGCAACACCAGCTATATAGCAACAACACGTGAAAGAGATAGACAAGAACGGTTATCACCCAATGATGGCATTGGAGCTGAGAGCATGTGTCACTCAACTGGGCTATAATGCACATGGGTCAAACCACACTAAAAGAATGAATCCAACCAATTAGCTAGCCTAACCCATGGCCTTATAAACTCATATGTTCTCTCTTATTTTATAGATGTGGGACTCTTAACAGATGTGAAAGCAGTTGACTTACTAAATGATCTTGATAAGCTCCCCAGACATAGAATGAACAAAAATGCCGATGGAAGTAGAGGAGAGAGAAGGTCCATCAACATTCCTGTGGAAAAGATGACACAGACAGATGGAGATTAGAGAGATGAGGATAGGGTATTTAAACGGATGTTCCAGGCCCGATATTAGAAAGAGATTTATTAAAGAACCAAGATCATTCATGAAATCTGCAATCAACCGCCACATTTTGGCATTGCTATCCAAATTCGAACCCTGAAAACAAAAGGCTACAACTTTAGTACCTGCAACAGATCAGATAAGCAATTGATCAAGCAAAAGCGCAGAAACCTGGTAAAACGTGAATAAAATGCCACCAATCATTCCTGATAGATCCCGCAAAAACCACTGTACCAAATCCAACATAGTATAAGTGTTGCCATCACCACAACATTAGACAAATTTCAATCAACGTGAAGAACTGTAAATTCTACCTGAAATGTAGCCCCAATGACAGTAGCTGATTTCTCTCCTACACCAATGGCACTTAAAAGGGCCTAAAAGTTTGCATAAATGAGCCTCTAGCATTCACAATAAGAGGTAAAACAACACACTTCTATACTCAATCTTACCTGTGTAGACAGCATCATCCGCACATAAGTTGAAAGCCCCTATAAAAATTTAAAGTTAAAATTGAATTTCGTTCGTATAGCAGTTGAGAAATCCAACAATGGGTATCAGAAATTTGAACCTGCAACAAGTCCCACACTTGAAAGGGTACATAATCTGGGGTCACGCTGTTTGGAAACCCCTATTTATGCAAACAAAAAACAAAAAAAAAAAAAAAAAAAAAAAAAAGTATTACACACCACACTACAACAACAAAAATAAATTTATGGGAAATGAAGACTATTCTTGTGCTTTTAACTTTCCCATTACCAAAAAAATGTAATCTTTTCACTAGGAAAATGATAAAGAACATATGATTTTATCTTTTTTTTTTTCTCAACTAAACAAAATTTCATCTATTCACCATTTTAATTACACAAGAAGATTTTGTAAATTTGATACTATAACTCATCCTAGACCATATGCATTAAAAGTTTTGCAATCTGGGTCATTGCCTTTCCTCTTCATACGAAAAAAAATCTGATCTTTTTACTAAAACAACACATCTTCTTTTAAACATTTCATTTATCAATTAAACCAAAATTCACAATTTTAATTACACTTGAAAATTTTGCAAGTAAAACCTACAGTATGATCCATACAGCTCAACCCACAATATTTATCTATAATGATACAAGCTAATTTATAGCACAAATGACAATTAAAGTAGTATTTATATAGAGACAGATAGAGAGCTTGCCTCGGGTATAAAAGCTTGGAGAATTTTGCCAGAGATATGAGTGAATGGGTTGCTTGATTTTTGTATTGAAAGAGAAGAAGAGGAGGAGGAGATAGAGATGGTAGCAGTCTTAGTAAGCTTAGTTGAGGTTGAGCCGTTCCATTCTTCGACAATGATCGCCGATGTTGTCTTGGATATTGATGGGTTTTTCTCATCTTCTTTCATGGCGGAGTCAAACTTGAATCCGTTTCCTCTGTTTCAGTTCAGTTCAGTTCAGTTCCGTTCATCAAGAGTCAAGACCCCAGTCTCACAAAGGGTATTGATTTGAATTTTTTAGAAAATTGGGGTCAACAGGAATGCAAAAAAGGTGAATTTTTAATTGTTCAAAGTATAGGGATCGAATGCAAAATAGAAATGGGGTAATAAAGTTTATGTTTATGGGGAAGGGTTGGAAAAAAACCATAATTCGCTAGAAGGAGGGCTTGAACCTCCGACCTTGTGGTTAACAGCCACACGCTCTAACCAACTGAGCTATTCCAGCTGTTGTTAATACTTTTTACAAACAATTAAATGTAATTAAAGAACTGTTTGAATACTTTAATCTGATCGGACCAATGTCATAAAGGTCAAACTTTTAGTAGTGACAGGAGTGAGTTCTTAGATAGATGCTTTATCCTTTTGGGGACGTCCAATAAAATTGGAACGATACAGAAAAGATTAGCATGGCCCCTGTGTAAAGATGACATATACAAATCAAGAAATGATCCAAATTTTTGGAGGCAACCCCAACCAAGTTGGTTGAATAGTTGGCTTGATAACCACAAGGTTTCGAGTTTGGGCTGTCTATGACCTTCTTGGTTTGAGCTAATTAGCTATGAGTTCTTGCTGCTTAAAATGCATACTTTTGGATCACATATTAGAACCCTTTTAACAATATGATATTAACCACTTGGCAGAGTTGTGCCGCTATTTAGGTGCTACTGTAAACCTGGTGAAAATACTTGATGCTTATTAGTTATTGGCTAGAGATATTATGTAGTCTGGCTCTTCTTTTTAGGAGAATTGAAAATCTTTCACCTCCACCGAAAACAACATTTCCCTACTTGCAAATGTGTGTCTGCTTGTCAACTGCAACTGCCCATTTTTCCCTTGCTTTATACCTCTTTTCTTCACTATTATATTTCCTCTTACTTTTCAAATATCATCTTTTTGAAGTGTAGCACTCTTGTTTGCTTTGGCTTTGTCAATGTTGTCCTTTATGTATTACTGGCAGATTTTGCTATTGTTCCTGCTAATTCACCCTCTTGAGGCCGTTCCAAGTATCATTTCTTGTTCAGAAAGATGTGGTGCCCTTTCTGTGAAGTTTCCTTTTGGTTCTGGTTATGGCTGTGGACATCCGGCCTTTGCTAGATACATCAAATGCAGCGGTGGGGTGCTCCAGTTCTCCTCTGGCACCGGGGTTTACACAATATCGTCAATTGACTATTCGAGTGGTGTTATGGTTGTCATAGACCCCTTCATGTCAACGTGTTCCTCAATGCAGAATTCTGGAAGCTTTACACTCGATCGTGGAAGCCCTTTCAGCATAATGCCAGAGAACATTTTCGCTTTGCTTGGATGCTCTACAACGTCTGCAGTGTTTGATCCAAACCAGGATTTATGCGATTCTGGTTCAGGTTTGAATGTGTGCAGAGGCCTGTATTCTTGCAAAGGGGTGACAGGGATTGGTTTGGAACCAAACGGACCAATATCTACTTGTTGTGTGTATAATCCTCCGGTTCCATTAGGCTCAGGTAATGGTTTGGATCTCCCTAAGCTCCAATGCTCATCTTACTCAACAATATATGGATTCGGGGGAGATGAAGGCGATCCGATGAAATGGCAGTATGGGATTTCTTTGCAGTTCAATAACTCGTATTCTTCTGATGCATGCAAGAACTGTGAAGATAGTGGTGGCTTCTGTGGTTTTTCTGGTTCTGATGAGGCTTTCGCTTGCACTTGCCGGAATGGAGTTAACACCACCGTCAATTGTTTTGGCAGAGGTTTGTGTCATACCACCACAAGAAAAGAAAAGAAAAGAAAAGATTTCTCCCTTTCTAATTAGTGATGTTTTGGATCTGATGTGATCAGGATATGCTTGGAGTGGGACATGGAGACACAAAATTCAAACAAAAGTGTACATTGGAGGTAAATGCTCCTTCACTTTTCAAACAAAAAGTTCACTGTGTTTGACAACATTTACTGGCATATCATGTGATTTGTATGGATGTTTTTCTCTCAAAGTATGAACCCCATTCTCACCCTGTAATTCTAGATCTAGTAACATCTATGAAAATCAATTTATTTTTTCAAAACTGGACTAAAATATTGTACTTATATGAAAATATTTGCATGAACTTTAACCGTGTAACGGGCTGTGCTCTCTTATCCATATAATCCAGTGAATTTGGTTATCATTAATCAAAGTGCAGTGTTTATCTTATTTATAGTAGTAATGACCTGTTTGTCTTTATAATGATATATATATCTTCAATTTCTTTTTGCTATTTCAGGGTTCCTGTTCTTGTGGATGATGTTTTTCATTTAAAGTTGCAGAGCTTGTGTGAGTGGAGGATGCTGCAAATGGTTGCTCAACATTGTCCTACTCTTTATTCATGTTATATGGTCCTGTTTCAAGAAATTAGCTTCACATTTCTTGGTTTTGAAGTGGGCATCCTTAAGTAGGCTTAGTGTTCCACCACTTAAATTGTTTATGTTTTTCAAGAGGCAATGGAAGTACTATAATTTTGGTACCACTTAAACTGTTTATGTTTTTCAAGAGGCAATGGAAGTACTATAATTTTGGTATTTTTCATGTACTCCTTAGATTTGATTTGGTAATTAATCTGATTGAATTTTAACTAAACTTTTTATGCTGAAAAAAAAAAATTCCTTCTAAATACTACACTGTAACAGAGTCAGTTCTTAAAAAAAATTTACTTCAAAAAAAAAAAAAAAATGAAAACAATACATTTGAATATTGCTTCATGAACTTTTTTTTTTTTGCAAAAACTTTCTTCACTCCTAATGTAAATTAGTTGATCCCACCTGACGTTAACAAAATTTATTTATTAATCAAATTATACTATTACATTAGATGGTAAAAAATTTGATGAAAAAATTACTGCATAAATCTTTATGGCAAAAAAAAAAAAAAAAAAAAAGAGACCAAACAAAGTCATAACTCAAATTTTAAGTATCATAACTCAAAATTTTTAACATAAACTTATCCAGCATCTAAGCAAGTCTTGCCAAAATTATTCAAACTTTCGAAACCAAACAAGTTAATTCATGATCTAGAGACCCTTTTCAAGCATTGCTCGAACCCTCATGGGGAGTCCATACAGCCTAATAAATCCAGCAGCATCAGCCTGGTTGTAAAGCTCCCCGCTCTCAAATGATGAGATATCTTGCCTGTACAAACTGTAGGGACTTTGACGACCTGTCACTGTAACCGACCCCTTGTAGAGTTTGAGTGTCACTGATCCAGTTGTCGTCTTTGTAATTTCCTTCATGAAAGCGTCATATGACTCACGAAGTGGATCAAACCACCTGCCTGCATATACAAGCTCAGCATAGTCAAGCGCAATGGAATCCTTCCTTTGCATTGCTTCACGGCCAATTGTTAGGGACTCCAACTCACGCACCGCTGTAAAGAGTATTGTACCCCCTGGAGTTTCATACACTCCTCGGCTTTTCATTCCAACAAGCCGGTTCTCAACCATATCTATACGGCCAATTCCATGTTTCCCACCAATTTCATTTAGATGAGAAAGAAGAGTTGCAGGGGATAGCTCCTTTCCATTGACTGAAACAGGAAGCCCAGCAACTATCTCAATGTTTACATACCTATATGGAAGGAAATGATCAGGCATCAGCACATGACCAATCAAAGCAAGAAATTGAAAGAAGAAAAAGAAACGAACTCGGGCTTATCAGGAGCATCTTCTGGGTCAACCGACATCATGTACATATCCTTCTTTGGCTCATTTGCAGGATCCTCCAGAATATCCCCCTTCAGTATCATTTTTAAGAAGTAAATATGACATCTTCTTAGTAGCATAAATATAAAAAGTGTACAGGGTCTTTTGATGGTTGGTTCATCGGGACAATGTGGTATTTATTGGGTTCATGGCACAAAAAATAGGATATATCATTATTCAGAATTTTTCTGAAAAAAATTAAAAGATAATTAGGTAGTTCTACAAATGAGAAATTATTTCTGACCTATTCTTTACTTCTTTTACCTTGCTATGCAATTTCTTCTTAAAAGGTAAAATATTCAATTAGTAGCAATTTCTTAGAGAAAATTTCAATTTTGATCACACGACTATAGGGGCTTTGTTAATTTTAGCACCTAACTTTCAAAAGTGTCAATTTAGTACCTTAAGTATGTAATTTTTGTCAATTTTAGTCACTCCGGCCAAATTGCCATCAAATTTGGCCGGAAAAATTTAGTCTAAAACTCTGAGGGGCAAAAGACCATTTAGTCTAAACTCTGAGGGGCAAAAGACCATTTAGTCTAAACTCTGAGGGGCAAAAGACCATTTTGCCGGTCAAATTTGGCTTGCAATTTGGCCGGAGTGACTAAAATTGACAAAAATTACATACTCAAGGTACTAAATTGACACTTTGAAAGTTAGGTGCTGAAATTAATAAAGCCTCTATAGTCGTGTGACCAAAATTGAAATTTTCTCCAATTTCTTATCTCATCTTTACATTTGATGAAATGATGTACTTAACTGTAGGTGAGTACTACACAATCTCTTTTATACCAAGATCCTAACAAAAAAAATGATTAAAACTAAGTTGAAATCCAAAGCAGTCAACCCAAGACCCCCCTTGAAATTTTAAAATGTTCACCAGATAAAATGTCATAGAAATACCAGTCTGGAGTGGATGTTTTAGCTGATTAAGTAAGCTATAGACATCAACAAAAGTAGGCAGATAGGCAGATAAGTAAAAAGACAGTTCTACCTCATGACTAAGATGCCAAAGATTCCTGTCTCTACTATAGATGGACTTCTTTGTCACAGGTACAGGAACATTATGTTTCTTTGCATATTCAATAGCATCTTCTCTTCCCTTAATGTCCCACTCTCTCCAGGGGGCAACAACACTAAGTTCGGGATTCAGAGCAAAGAAGGTAAGCTCAAAGCGAACCTGTAAAATAACCAAGGCCATATTTCTAAAGATGGAATCAAAGAGCAGGTCCAATGCACTCTGCAAATCATAAAGGAACATGGAAAAAAGAAAAGAAGAAGATCGTAAAGCATGCCTGGTCATTTCCCTTCCCTGTGCATCCATGAGAAACAGCATCAGCTCCAACTTCTCTAGCAACATCAACCATCGCCTAACATTACCAAAAATGTAGTAGATCATAAGTAATATAGAGTAGAAGACAATACAGAGAAATATACAACAATTGTATTAATGAATGACCTTTCATTAGATGAAACTGAAAACATTTTTTAGAGCTGATCATGAACAAAATGTGTGAAATTATTCAATGCCACATACAAAATGTTTACAAAAATCTTATGAGATATTTTTTTGAGTGAACTACAGTGCCCAAATCGTAAAGGCAGCCATCTACATCCAATTGATACATCCACGCTTCAAGATGTAAAGACTAAATAAAAAAATCAATCATTAAGATCTGAGTGTGTAACTAAAATGAGCCAAATGCTGCACAAATAGGAATTGAGAAGTAAAAGTTAACTCCGATAAACCATGGTGGGCTTAGGGTATAGAACAGTAAAAATAAGCTTGTTTGTTTGAGAATGCATGTGTGATAGAGAAAAACAGAGCAATAGCAAATAAATCAATTATACTCACGTCCTTGCACTTCATACCTTTGCAATAACAGGGCGTGCCATTGAGGTTCCAAGCAAGTACTTCCTCTCGTAGATTGCACCAGCACGTAGGCATGGAAATATATAATCCTTCACAAATTCCTCCTTCAAATCCTTCACAACTAATTGACAAGCTCCACTAGCCTTGGCCTTCCCTTCCAAGCCTTCCAATTCCATATCCCCCTAAGAAGTTAGGAGTCAAAAGAACCAACAAGTTCTAATATCAACACCAACTTAACATACAAAATGACCAACACAAAATTCTAAGCATGCATATATTTGAAATGCAACATACTTGGCCAACATCTGCAGTGAAACAAACAACCTCACAGCCATAATTTTCCCTGAAAGCAAGGAAAATTCTTATAATACAAGGAAGTAAAAACTAGAGTACTTTAGCAATTGCAGATGAAATGGTAAAGTTATTCATGTGAGAACAAATATTAGCAGAATGCTACAGGCTCTTTTTCTTCTTCTTCTTCTTTTTTTTTTTTTTTTTGAAACATATCTTAAATGGAGGATTTTATTAACTGTACATCTTGAATGAGCTGAAAATCCAGTCAGAAGTGTTCTGTGTATTATGCATACCTTAGCCAAGGAACAATAACAGAAGTGTCCAGACCACCACTATAAGCAAGAACTACTTTATTCAATTTTTTAGAAACTTGTTTTTCAGCAGCAGCAGCAGTTGTTGTATGCTTATCAGTATCACTTGTCAAGACTGCCTGGATCGCTGCAACAATCAGGAAAAAATTGATAGCTCTGTGGAATGATAAATACCAAACAAAGAACATGAAAGTAATACCAAAAGGGAGAGGATGAAAATTGCCTGCACTTATTTTCTTTAAGTTTTAGAATAGATGTTATTTTATTTTACATTATAAAAATGCGCAGGACAAAGCAATCAGGCATCAGGCATACTTCTAAAAGTCGAGATCAATAATGATTGAAAATCTGTAATTCTGTATACACAAACACCCACAAGGATATCATATGGTTCATAATCAGTCTGACATACTTCAGACAGTGCAAGTTTTAGAAAACAAGAGTACCTATAGAAGCTAAGACCAGCCGCAAAAGGCTAACAGAACTCTATAAAGCCTATCAATCTGGTAACTAAACTTTTATAAAAATAACATGGAATATTTTTAAATGATGCAAACAAATAAATAAATAAATACAATCCGAGGATTTAAAAAAAAAAAATACTTATGACTTACCATGATTATTAGGAGGCAAAGCTAACTTCAAGCTTCTCTGGACAATCGAATGACCAAGAAAATCACTTGTTTTTGCTCCAATCTGGCATAACCCAGGCATGTAGAATAAGTAAAAGGAAATGTAGCCTATTAGATGTAGAGAGGCAGATCAAGTTAATAACCTCTTGTACTGAAGTCGACTTCCATGAATAACTTGGTTTTTCATCAAATCTATATGAATCTGTATGCAAAATTGAAAAGCCAGGTTCAACAGTAAATCATCCGCTAAAACCGACTACTTGGAAGCAAGAGATTGCATCATGCAAATTTAACCGTATAAATAATAAATACAATAAAGACACATTACCTTTGGTCACTGATCCTCGGAAAAGTGGATTAATGCGAGAACACGAAGAAATGGCCTGAAGATGAGCCATCGTCGACTCACTGGCAGATTTAGGTCAGGGAACCTGTACGGCAGCACCCAAAAACAAAAACAAAAACAAAAAGTGAATAAGGCCAACTAAATCTATGCGTGCGAGTGTTTGAAATAGCTTATGTGGAACTGTGGGTGGATTTAACAATTAAAACAAACAGTAAAGTCAACAATGGCGGTAAACATTTCGACGTGCGTTTAAGCGGACGGGAAAAATGGCGGCCGCAAAACTGAAGAAGCGGGAAACAATGGCGTGAGTGATGCACCTTCTGTGTTAGGAAGGGGCGGTTATAGGTGGGTTTAGGGTTTTGGAGGGAGAGAGAGAGAGCTGTATAGCTGTACCTGAAAAACGGAAATGCGTATGACCGATGAGGATTGCGGAGGCGCAGTGAGTGAGCCTATCACTCCTATGAGGGATTGGTGAGTTACCAGAGTGAGTAAAGTAAAATATTGTGAGCAAATATCAATTTTAAAGTAAAATATTGTGAGCAAATATCAATTTTAATTTTACGAGTATTAATAAAAGAGTAAATACTTAAAATGATCGCTCGACTATAGTTAAATTCTCAAATTGATTCTCGACTTTTAATTTCAACCAATTAAGTTTTTAACTTTGCAATTTTGACACAATTTGATCTTCTATATATTTGACCGTTTGTTGACCGCGATCTTTGAGGATATATATGTAGTTTCACGTGCAAAGCTCAAGAGAACGCTCTTGGAGGTGACATCGTTGTTTCGGAGGGGAAGTGCTTATCCGCTTACTGGTTGGAGATCACGAGCCGGTTCAGCTTAGAGAACGCTCTTGGAGGTGACAGCGCCGTTTCAGAGGGGGGAAGTGCTTCTCCGCTTGCTGCTTGGGGATCCCGAGCCGGTTCAGTTTGCCTACATCGCTTGTAGTCACGACTTTCTCGAAGAGCCACTCCAGGGACTTCGGCGATCTATCTATCAAAAGCTATAATCTCTCCGGCATGGGGTGCAGCGCCGGCAGTGGATTCAAATGTAACAGTGCGGTCTAGAAATGCAACCGGAACCTTAAAAAATCGACGATGGACCATGAAATTACATATATATCCTAAAAAAAGCCCAGTCAACAAACGGTCAAATAGACAAAGGACCAAATTGTGTTAAAATTGCAAAGTTAAGGACTTAATTGGTTGAAATTAAAAGTCGATGACCAATTTGTGAATTTAGCTATAGTCGAGGGACCATTTTGGGTATTTACTCTTAATAAAATGATAGTTTAAGTTTAGATATTTAATTTCTATTAATTTTTATTCATAATTATTATTTTAGTATCAATTTTTATCAACGATTACTATTTTAATGTCAAAATTAATCACGTTGGTCATTCTTTCGTTAAAGACATGTTAAAATATGAAATTATTAAGGATATTTCCGTCCTTTTCAAATTAAGATCCTTATTTGAACATGAATAATGGGATTTAAACCCTAAAGTCTATCCCAACTCACAATTCTCCTCCACAAATGAAGGTATGATTAAGATAAGAACTGTGAATTGGATTCGTGCTAAAATTAGAATCTTAAGCTGAAAGTTATGAAAATGCCCTTAAAATTTTTAAATTTTGACATGTCTTAAATGGAGGGGTGACCAACGGGATTAATTTTGGTACTAAAATAATAGTCGTTGATGAAAATTGGTACTAAAACAATATAGTCGAGTGGATGAAAATTGATATAAATTAAACATGTGAACCAAAACCATCACTTGTGAGAATCAAATCCGAGTTATCCCATAATTCTCCCCCACAAAGAGAGCCCATTTGCCACTTGAGCTACCTTGTTGGGTTAGACTCTCATATAGGAGATTGTGAATTCGAGCCTCAGTGGAGGCGTTATTGACTCTTTGTGCTTCAGTAGTTAAGAAAGTAGTTATTAACAGATACTACATTGTGTTAGAATAATTATACAATATTATAATTGTAATGATCTAACCTCGTAGCGGAAGCATAGGAATCGAGCAAAACTCTAGCCATAGTTGATACCTTTGTGTATTGCGTTGTGAATAATCGTAGTAGCAATTCCTGCATAGTAACATTGTCTCCCACTTTTTCTCCGGACAGTATAGATGGTGTGTTTCAGGTGTTCCGGAGCAGTGGTAGGACCTAAACTTATATAGCCTTATATGCCATCAATATAGGCTTTGTAACGGAAAACGTTATTTCCGTTACAACATTAATGCTATCACTTAATAATCATAAAGTTCTCAATTAAACTTGCACCACATTAAAGTGACTTAATGAAAATATTGTTTACATTCTCCCACTTGGTGCAAGTATAAACTTTAAAGAAATAGAAAACATGAACGTAACCATAGAGATAGTTCCTCTCAATGGGAGTAGTATCCACTATGACCACAATGTAACTTTTTCTCTAAGTACTTTATGTCTTTATGTGGTAACAAAACTTAATGAATAAACCTTATGTTCATTCTTGATTATAATTAGTTATCAAAAACTAATTATTGCCTCAATGGCTAAATTTGGCCTAATAAACTTGCACAACTTTATTTGTACAGTATTAATGGAAAAATGTTACAATTTCCACTTGGTGCAAGTATTGGCACAACCCTTGTTGAAGATCAAAAAACATGAATCATAGTTGTATGTCCTCTAAATTAAAGGGTGAGTGATACCATCTATGCATCACATGCATTTTGATTCCCAACTCAGGTCCTTTATGAATAAACCCTACGTTTATTCTTGGTCCAACGTTAGGGATGTTTCTCAAATAAATATGCGCATAATCATAGGAGAAACCATCCAAATTATTACATAGAAGTGACAACATAAATGTACGTACAATATGGTCATGTACTATGTATGATCCCTAAAATTCTTATAAGCATGCCTTAAGTAGGAATCCAAAACTATTAGCAAAATGCTAATATATAAATGACTAACTCATTATCTTTAATATTATCGCTGACAGCTAAGTTTTCAGAGTTGACACGTCTGTCACTCCTACTCTCATTAATCTTAGCCAAAGATAATAATTGAGTAGTCCATATTCCAACGACTTAGATAACAAATTCATGAGTCTAAGCCCACAAATGGAACTTTAAACATACACCTTATAAATGATCTCCAAAACAAAGGAAGGAAGCCCAACTTTCATGTCATAGAGCAATACCGAGGATTTATTAATGTAACTTTATGAAACAACAAAAATATTGTATCATCATAAAAAAATCCTCAAAATTCATCTATATGAACCAACATCATGAGTCTTTGCATGCTTTATGTCTATCAAATTGAATCTTGAACCTTTTAAATCTTAATGGCCCAGGATCAATTTGATGAGACGAAAGACTCCAATAAATGCTAAAGAATCTAACTCGTGATAGTTCACCATAAACTTAATGCCATTGTTATAATAAAAACTATTAACGTTGTTACAACATTTTCAGAAATATGTTGCACAACTTGTAGCTAGTTCAACAAATTGAACTATTGATTTTACAATAACAAGGCAATGTGTCTTATCCTTGAAGTGGGGCAATCTTGAAGTGAGACATCTTTAATGATCTTTCCAAATGATCACTCCCACTGATCAAATGGGACATCTTAGTGATCTTTTAAATGATCACTCCCACTGATCAAACCATTACTCCCACTAATAAAGTTATTCTTGAGCATAAATGATATACACACTAATGATCCTCAAGTCCAACTAACTTAACAAGGATTATAATTCCCCACCATAGTTGGACATGTTAAATATGTACATGTAACAGGCACAATTTCCAACTACTTAAACAAATTAAATTGCTTTAGTTGAAAATTGGCAGATATGTACAATTCCAATATAAGGATCCAAAAGTATATCATGTCTAAAATTCAAAATCTCTACTGTGGTTGGGTTGAAAAAACAAAGTAAGCCACATACAGTAACAATTTCAAGTTACTAAAGTTTTGGAGGTTAACAAAATACATGTGTTGCCAATGCAACCCATGTGAAATAATATAGAATTATAACTGGCCTTAAAGTTATAAATTCTAAAATTGGTATGATAAAATTTTATCTTGATCATCAATTTAAACAGGAGAATCCAGTGACATAAAACTTGCTTGTAGGCTAAAGATTTATTCAATTAGACTCGACTGAGGCTTTATGATAATCAAATAGAAGAATCTAATGACACAAAACTTGCCTGTGGGCTAAAGTTTTGTTCAATTAGACTCAACTAAAATTTTATGATAAAATTATTATCAAAGTGGATAGAAGAATCTAGTGACATAAAACTTGCCTGTGGGCTAAAGTTTTATTCAATTAGATCCATCTACAACTTTATGATAAAACTATCAAACCATGTTCCTTTTCTTAATCCCTGTGGGTAAATTAAGAAATATGATTTAATATTTTATCTTGACTATTTACATCAATATAATAAAATTCCTGTAGGTAAATTTTATTATACTTTATGTAATTAGTTACAAAGTGATCAAAATAACTTAATGATTTCAGTTATGAAATTGTATTGATCACTTGATATTTGTACACAAAAGAATATTAATGTACCAAGCTATTAATCCAAATTTCTTCCATACATAATAAATACACATAAAAGAAACTAGACTAATACCACAAAATGTACACATAAAAATACTTTTGAATATGTACATATATCATAACTTTATGATAGAAGACGCAAATTTATTTATATTAAAACCATATGTTAAATAAATTGACCTTCCTATCTATAATGATAAAACTCACCAAAACTATATTCCGACGCATAATTGCCTGTGGGCTAAATTATGATCATAGTTTGGTGTTTTTACCCTAATTAATTATATAAACATAACAAAATTGCCTGTGGGCTAAATTTTATTATATCATATAATTAATCACAATCAATACTTCTACTGTATGTGATCTCACAAAATTTCAATTAATCAAAGATACCGTGGCTATTACTTAATTAATCAAAATTATAAGATCACTAGACAATTTTCTTAATATCTTAGGCATCAACTTTAAAGCCTAAAAACAATTATGCAACAATATGATAAACAATCCCAAGTGTACTCCCAGAAAAGTTGGTTGGGACGGAGCCTCATTAAAAATAACCAACTCCTTAGACAGAGTAATGTTTCAAGGGAACTAGTAGCACATTGGCCCCTTCCCGAGAAACTTTTCACCGGTTCATATTTTCTCACACTAAATGCATAATTGACGAGCAATCTTTCCAAATCTTTAATAGTTCGCCTATGGAAAGACTTTTAATCTCAAGTGAACATTCTAAACGGTCTAAATGTGCTTAAACATAATGCACTACCGTTTATTATTCCACACACAAGGTTCACCTTAACAAGGAATTATTATAATTCCTAACTTATGCAATTCCAAAGGCATTATCAAATTCACATAACTAGAAAATATAATGTTATGCTAGTGAACAATTATATGTGAAATTCAA